GCGGTGGTTGGATGTGACGTTTGTACTTGATACGTTGATCCAGCGCATGTGGGTGGGAGATTCTGTCGAGGAGATGCCTTCGGTTGTAGATGACTAGCCGAAGGCTCTTTATCCCGGAGGCCTTTAGATGTCGTGGGCTCTAGGTGCCGAGGGCTACTGTTTTCGCTGTTTTCTCCCCGTAACTTCGAGTGCTTAAAAGCAGCTGTTCTGTAAGTTTATGAGCCTTCGGCCATGGGGCCCGAAGGCATCCCGGTATTCGTCGTGGGCTGTTTGGCACTTGGGGCGCTGTGATTTGGGTCTGCCGTGCTTCCTGGGCCTATTGGGCCTTCGCTATAGTAGTGGGAGTCTATGGGCCGGGGGGTTCCTGGCAGGGACGGATCCAGGATTTCGAGTCAAGGGGGGCGAAAATTTTCGTTAGTGTAGGATTTAAAAAATTCATTAGTGTAGCGGGGTGAATTTTTTTTCTAGTGTAGCGGGGCGAATTTTTTCACTAGTGTAAGGCTCTGCGGCTATTTTTATTCAAAAAAAATTCATTAATACATACGTGACGACATTTAAATCTATATATTACATTCTAAGTTTAGACAATGACAAAATAACTTTAATTTTATAATTGGAGTGTTCTAGAAAAAAGTATTGATACATTAAAGCATAAGAAATGACAAATCAATGGAAAATAATACAAAAATAAAAAGGATATATAACATTTTATTTAAATATAAAGAGTTTATAAGGTTCACATTCACGAGTACTTTTAAAATAATTTCAACATTGTTTAACTACACGAGTCTTATAGAAATAAAGAATTGGTTTTCTCGTTTTCTCAATCATCAACCATTATATTTTATATTTCTCCAATGTAACTATCATTATTCATAGTATATTCATCATTATTGCATCATTCTTGTGCAAATGATTGCAAACTATCAGTAACCTTATTTAAAAAATTAACGTCACACCTTATGTACAATCCAAATACAACTCTCACTAATATATCATTGAAATGCACATTTACACTTGTTTTTCTCTTTTTGCACAATAAATGACTATCACTTGCACATTCATGATTTGTGTATGTTCAACATACTTTGCGTCTTAACTTTGTATATGATTCCTTTTAATTATTTCCTTGAATAACTCTAAAATAAAAAACAGACATTCCGAAGTAAAAAATAAGTTTCACTTATATTTTTAAACGGTTTTTGGTTATTAACGAAAAATGAACTTAGTTCAAATAAAATTCGATTATGTAATATTCAGTTAGTATTTGTGAACTTAGTTTTTTTGTTTCGTGCTTTTTTTTTATTCAAGAAAACTTCAACAATTGATTTTTTATATATATTACATATTCGTGTCACATGAAAGATCATTAAAATTCATGAATTTTGATATATGTTTTGAAAAAATTGTAGATCAAATAAAAACTTATAGGAGTTTAAAACTAAGTGGAATTTTTAAGAAGTCTGTGTGACATCATCATTGCGTTAGCAAAACGCATTAACAACGCACAGGACCAGCCACTTTTTATTGTTTTCTTTTTCCTTTTCTTTTACCTTGTCAACCCAATCCTATATTTTTACACTCCTCCACTCTCTTCCCAGTTTTACCCCCCCTTTTAATCTCCCACTACACTCAATTAAGAGTCTAAGAGTCTGTTTGGTAACACGAAAACGGGTTGAATTGACTGATTCTGCTGAAATTTATGAAGTTCTGACTGAAGTAGCTGTATTGGTTGATTTTGCTGATTTAAGAAAAAAAAATTAAAATACTCCCTCCATCCCCGAAAGAAATTCCTCATTTGACTTTCACATACTTTTATGCAAGTAAACTTACTAGAGGGTAAATTTTACTGTTTTGACACTGTTTTGCACTATTTTGCACTGTTTTGATGTAGATAACTTTCCATTTAATGAAATGAGAACTTAAATTAGGGACATCCAAATAAGGAAAGTGGAAACTTCTTTCGGGGACGGAGGGAGTATATTTTATTAATAAAATAAAATAAAATTATATGTAAAAATAGCTAAAAATGGTCATCTACATTATTTTCAGCCAATAAGTCAGAAAAGTAACTATAACCTTACATTTTCTGCTTATTACACAATTCAGCGCGCAAAAGCAAAACTTACGTGTTAGGTGAACAAGATGATAAATTGAAAAATGGTGTTACCAAACGGCCTCTAAAATTTCCATTTTTAATCTTTTTACTCCTAATCTATAGTGTTATATAGTAAACTTGAGTTAAAAAACAATGACGTGTCAACTTCTTATTGGATAATTCAAGTTCTATTATCATTACAATTAAAACAATTAATTAATATAATGTCTATCACACTTAAAAATCTTACATTACGATTCATTTAGAGCAAAAATAGGAGAAAAACTCTCTCTTTTTTAAAGTGATATAACTTTTATATTTATAATCTAATTTTTACAAAAAATATATCAAAATTCATAACTTTTTAAGATCTTTAATATGACACCAATATTATATTATATATATATATATATATATATCACTGATCACTGGTCTTTATAGTTATATATATATATATATCATATAAGTTGACTCGGTTCATCATTGTTATTAACTACATGCATCACTGATCATTCTGAGAAAGGGAATGATAGAAAAATCTTAATTTAATGTATTATAACTTATTTATCTGTACTCACAATTTTTAGAAAAAAATACATCAAAATTTAAAACTTTTTATGATCTTTCATATGATACAAATTTTACAAAAAGTGTACCAAAAATCATAAAGTTTTATGATCTTTCATATGACAACAAATTGCATATATAAAAAAGTTATTGTAAAATTTGAGTAATAAATCACTGATATGTTAAATTCATAGTGAAAGAGTTTAAATTTGCATTATGGGAAGTGCACATTTACATAGTAGTCATGACACATATTAGGAATCCAATTTTCATTATATATTTAAATCTATTGTTTTATTTAGTAAAGTAGGGTTACAAACTGATGATATATCACTATGTTATTTTTTTGGAAAACATATCACTATGTTATTGATTAACAAAAAATCTATTGTCATTATTATGAAAACATTTAATTAGTTCCAAACAAAAAGGAGACCCGGTCAAAAAAGGAGATGGAATAGCTATAATGGAAAATGGAGAAAAAAAGGAGGAAAAACGATAAATAACTAACATTTGACATTATGTAGACTCCAAACATTAAATCATTTAATTAGTTCGTACAAAGATGAAACGACTAATTAATGGACAAGTCTAGATAAAAAGTAGGAGAAAAAACATAAAAAAAAATATCCTTAGGAGTATTACGTTACTCATATTCTTATTGTTTACTTTGTATTACTTATTTTTAATTTATTCAGACCAAATCAAGTAAAAAGTCAAATAAGATTAGCCCAAAACTTTCAATCTAGATTAGATTATAAATCAGGAAAATTCAGATCAGAAAAATTTAAATCATAAAGGTTCAAACATAATTTGTTATTTTTACTATTATGATGATTTCAATTTAATCTAAATATTTTTGTAGGTTATTATTGTACGTTGCTTCCATTGAAGTTAATCACGAATACAGTTATTATTATAGTCATTATTTGTATGTTATTCAGAAAAAAATCAGATCTTAAAAATTTCAGATCATAAATATTCATATCCGGAAAATATAACAACTTCTTAATATCAACCATATTAATGGAGTATAATTCTCGGAATAAATACCATATCAATTCAGTTTCCAAAATAATTGTACAACATCAATTTTTTTTAAATAATGAGACTTTGAATCTCTAATACATGTAATATGACTCTAATAATAAAAATTAATCTTACACATTTGAGTGAGGCTTTAATTTAAGACTAAATTTTTAAATAATGGATTTTTAGTTCACGTGAACGGGACTCTAATCGCCCAACACCAATAATACACGTGAATATCCAAAATAATGTAAAATTGTAAGCTCCACATATTCCCAATTCCAATTCAACACTTCTTATAATCATCCTCATGATATAATTAGTCATATAAATAATTAATAACTATTACAAATCTAAAAAATAACTATTACAATACTAAGCACATAAATCACAATATAACCTCAAATTCTTATTTTAAAAGATGGTGATTCATCATCCCTATTCTATGGTGATGGTTAGTTCATACTACCTCTTTATTTAGCCATATTTGACTTTTTCAATCAAAAATGATAAACTTTGATACTCCCTCCGTCCCTTAAAACTTTGTCATCTTTCCTTTTTGGGACGTTCCAAAAAACTTTGTCACTTTCCCTTTTAATCAATTATTTTGTGGTTTCTGTTTTTTCTCTCTCCTCTGCACAAATATCAACCACACAGTTTTTACTGTATTTTTCTCCGTGCCGATCAACTTTGGCAAAGTTTTAAGAGACGGAGGTAATATATTATTTTAACTAATATATTTATGTGAAACTTAATAAATTTATACTTTTATGAACATGAAGTTTTAACAAAGAACATTTTCATATCATTTTCATATTATCATCACTACCGTATATAAATATATAATCGGTCAAAATTCAACATCATTGACTTAAAAAATAATGTTTGGTTAAATATAAAGCGACAAGAGGAGTAAAAGAAATCGATTATAGCCAAAATTTTGATCATATGTTATGAATAATTCATAATGGTTATCAGTATTTGTCACATCACCCATTTCAAATTAACACTACCGGGGCATACCCCGGGTGTTACACTAGTCTTTAATAAAAACAAATGGTCTATTGGTCTAATTGCAATATTGTTATGAACTTTGTAGTTGTTGGGCCAAGTTGATACGGAGTCATGTTTTTGAACTTTCAGCAAAACCACCGGGCTTGCTGGTTCCAAGGACTGTGGCCTGTGGGACCGGAAAGAGGGACATTCCAAATTCGAACATGAGACATCTTTCCAGCCAAGTGCAAGGTGCGGGCCTATACAGGTTTAGTCAAGTGTAAAACAGTAGCTCAAATCACCACTCATGTCTCAGAAACTACCCGGCTGAATCGTAACCACGTCCTCTTCTCCCAATCCTTCCTTACATATATAATCCTCAATCACAGCCCAACATTTTTTCTGTATCCAAATTCTCTCGCACCACAATACGGAGCAAGTCTATCTATCTATCTCTTCGAGTAGACCATTCCAAAGAACATTCTTGGAATCTTTCTGGGATTCATGCGAGGGGGCGATTGCTAGATTCTGAGAATCTGTGGTGGGTAGTCTGTAAGGAAATTTCTGGGCTTGATTTGGGTATCTTTCTTGAAGCTGTTTTGAGGGGTGGGTGAAATCCCGGGCGAGACACGTTGCAGAAATCACGGCTATACACGGAATACACCGGCGACCCCTTGTTCATGGCCTCCGGGCATTACGATGCAAGGGTTGTCTGAGTGAATCGAACACAACTTCGCCGCACGGTGGCCGCGGTGCTCTCCCATCTGAAGGCGGAAGCCCTTCTGACCTCCTCTTCCTGGCCGGCGGCGGGTTTTCCCCTTTCCTCCTCTATTAGGGTAGCGCGTGGTAGTTAGATCGTTCTCTTCGTTTCGATTTCTGCGTCGTTTGTTGTCCAATTCACCCGATCTGTAAATACCCAAACCCTCCCTTAGAGAAAGATGTCGTCTTCTTCGATGGTCCTGAAGATTAAGAGGGTTCCAACGATTGTTTCCAATTTCCAAAAGGAAGATTGTGAGGAAGGTTCTGTTCGTGCTTCAGGATGTGGTAGGAATTGTCTCCGCGATTGCTGTCTTCCAGGTACTGCCTTAATTTTCCTAAACGCAAACAAAATTTAGTCTTTTTAGTGTTCCTTCTTCCAATACTTTCGCTGAAATTTAGTTGAACATGGATTGCAATAGGGTCGAAGCTTCCATTGTATGCTTTCAGAAAACTGAAAACCTGCAAATCTGACACCAACTCAGAGGTGGATGTCAAAGAGCCACCCATTGCTTTCTTGGACTCCCTGCTTCTTGGAGAGGTATTTTTTGTTTTGTCTTTTATTTGTCGTAGTATTAATATTCGTAGTATACTCCGTACGAAGTAGTTTTCTAATTAATATTGGGTTTTTTGGTTGTAGTGGGAGGACCGTATGCAGAGAGGTCTCTTTCGTTATGACGTCACTGCCTGCGAAACTAAGGTTTTTTGTCCTATACCTATTATGTATTCTTTTATGCTTAAACTCTTTGTGATGTTCAGTGGTCTATTAATTATTAATTGTTCAAATATCCTTCTTATTATAACTTGGTTCGTAATTTGGCTTGAAGATCCACTATACTTATATGGAGTAGTTATTTTTGTCTTCTAATCCTACAAAAGTATAGGGCCAAATAACTTAAATGGAAGCATTATGTAAAGAGTATGATGCAAACCAAGACAAGTTTAATGATGTTTTCAAACTTTACTGAACTCAATAGGTCATACCCGGGGAATCTGGCTTTATAGCACAGCTGAATGAGGGGAGGCACCTCATGAAACGGCCAACTGAGTTTCGAGTCGATAAGGTTTTGCAGCCCTTTGATGGAAACAAGTTCAACTTCACTAAGGTTGGGCAGGAAGAGCTGCTTTTCCAGTTTGTAGCCAGTGATGATGGGACCCAGTTCTTCCCTGATTCATCGATTGATGCCGAGAGCTCACCCAACGTGGTTGCCATTAATGTATGTCAACTGATTTTGATGTTTTTATAATCAGAGTGACACTTTGTGTGCTTCGCCCTAGACTTATTACAAGGCATAATCAAACAATCTGGTAAAAGTAGTCATTTTCTGAGTTTTTTAATATTACGATATTCCAATTTGACCCTTTCTACTGTGTGTAAGTTCATTTCCTTTTATAATATAAACACATGGAAACAATATGTGTGTATTGTGTGCGATTGGGTGAACAATGGAAATAGGAAAAATAATGGCTTATAAAAAGAATCACTGATATCTTTTATAAGGTAACTATGATAAGAACTGAAGGGGGTGACTGGTGACTTGATGAGTGTCTGAGTGGGTGATAGATATGTTGTGGATATCTAACCGACTCCATGCTTATTAATCCATTAACAGGTTAGCCCTATTGAATATGGCCATGTCCTGTTGGTTCCTAAGGTTCTTGAATGCCTCCCCCAGAGGATTGACAGAGACAGCTTTTTACTTGCACTTCACATGGCTGCAGAAGCATCTAATCCATACTTCAGAGTGGGCTATAATAGCTTGGGGGCATTTGCCACCATCAACCACCTTCATTTCCAGGTAGTTTCAGCCAACAAATACTCCCTCTGCCGGTCTGCCCTTTAAGAAAGAGTCACATTTGAAGTCTTTTTCCCCTAATTAGTTTGAAGCCTGGTTTCAAAAGTCACTTTAACTAGTTTTTTATTGGAATGATAAGGGGGAATAGTAAGTACCTTTCATAACATTTAAAAACTTGCACCATGATTGAAATTACTATAAATAAAAAAGGTTAACCCTTACTCAAGCACTACTCTATGTTTAGAAGAGTGAAAGTATCATATTCAATGAGGTAAGTAAATATTGATTAACGTTTTCTGGCTGTTACTCTTATATATCATAGGCATACTACTTGGCTGTGCCCTTTCCTATTGAGAAGGCCCCTTCAAGGATAGTAACCACTGCTGCAGGTGGCGGTGTGAGTGTTTCTGAGATTCTGAATTATCCTGTGAGGGGTCTCGTCTTTGATGGGTTGAGTACCCTAGATGATTTGGCCAATGTCGTCTCGAGTTCATGTATATGCCTCCAAGAAAACAACATTCCTTATAACGCCCTTATCTCTGATATGGGGAAAAGAGTTTTCCTCATTCCTCAGGTATGTCTATTTTGGTCTATATTTATCATTATTTGGTATCAGATTAAATCCTAGGAAAAGGGTTTGAGGAAACTCTTGTTTGCATTTGGTTTTATCTTGGGGAATGCAAGCGAAATTGAAAACGAGTGATGTTTGTAAATTTTTATTACATTTGTTTAAATTCTGTAGTCAATATATTCAATGTTGTCACGGCATCTAAGTAAGGCACAGTGATAGCTAACAGCCTTGTCGCCTCGGTCACTAGGCGACAATTAGCGTGTGCAATAGTCGAATATAATAAAATATGTTATATTAATACAATATTTGATATAGTTCATAATTTACTCTTTCATCATTTTAACTCAACAAGAGTCAATCATCTATTTCTAATACTTTAAGCTACAAAAAAGTGGTGATGTGATTCATATGGTTGATATCTAAAAAGAAGGAAAAAAATATAATGAAAAAATATAAAGAAAAAGCTAAACACAAGAAAAATGAAAATGAACACAAGCTAAACACATGAATATAGACAGAAGAAAACTGAGATAGGAAATGCACGCTTGGCGGATTGAACCGCTGGGTCAAAATTGATTTGGCAAAAACTCTGTCCCAGGCACCCTATGAATGCCTAGTTGACGTTGAAGCGGTGCCACTCAATGCTTGTCGCTCTTCAGGCGATGCAATCAGCCATGGCCAGTTCTTTCCACTGCCAGGACACCTAAGCGTCGCCTAGATGACACCATGGCAACTATGACTATATCGTAGAAATAAAAGATTAATTAAGTTTCAAAGAATGTAAAAAATAAATTTATTGAGTTCGAATAGATGTTTTAATCTCTCGCATTTTCCTGTTTTCCAAGTTTCTCCAAGATATTTTATTCCTTTTCATTTGCTGGATACCAAAGTGGGTGTTTACGCTCTATCTTGGGAATTTAAGCTTTAGAGTCTCTCCCTTGGTTCACATGATGTAGTTTAGGGACATGCTTTGCAGATAATGTAGATTTAGTCCCTCAAAGGTTAAAATAAATGAGATACAATAATACCCCATCGGTTTATCACTCCCTAAGAAATCATTGTCCAGTATTAAGGTTTATGTGGGCGTTCTCTTCGATATAAACTGCTAAGAATGCCCATCGGCACCATCCTAAAAAGCAATTTCAAGGGGAGGTTCTATTACTTCTATATGCATGTATATATTAACACCTGGGAGACTAAGTTTACAAGAAATGTAGACAATCCCATATTTGAAGGTGTCAAACAATTGGGGATTAAAAAGTAGAAATTGTGTCTTTGAATATCTGATCTGACGAGAGACTGGAACAGTGTTATGCAGAGAAACAGGCACTCGGGGAGGTGAGTAGGGAGCTCCTTGACACCCAAGTTAATCCAGCGGTTTGGGAGATTAGCGGTCACATTGTATTGAAAAGGAAGGAGGATTATGAGGGCGCATCTGAAGAAAATGCTCGGAGACTCCTCGCTGAGGTTTCCTTTTCTAGGGAGAGGTTCCAAGAGGTAACTTTTCTCGTCTTCCAAGCCATCGGGGTGGCAGAACATGACCGCCCCCTCCCTGAGAAGAAGCCAGATGTAGATCCTCAACAAATGGAGGAAGAGATGGATTCCCTTGTAGGTTGTCACCCTACTATGGTTCCTGTGTAGGCTTTCTACTCCTAGGCTGTACTGTTGGATTGGATTATTTATCAATTATGCGCATCTCTCTATTGGAAATGTGCATGTCTGATAGTCAATTGTTATGTTTGGCTTCCCCTCTGTCTAAATAAGGCAAGCCATGATTTTTTTTCAACATAAAATTATGTGAAATATATGAAGTTTGCTTTTTGAACGATGTAATCGTTTGTTTCTTTCAAATGCATTATTGGATGTACATTGTACTAGGTATAGTGCCTACACGGTATGTCTATTGAATAGATTTTTTAGAAAAAATTAAAAGTTTTAGAATTTCAAAATATGATTATTATGTTTTTTTCTTCTCGAAGTAGGAATCATTATTGCCAAAATAATGAAATAATTGTAGTACTAGACATTAACATAACAATATTTACTGTCTCTACGGACTCTTAGAGCCTGTTTGGTAGTTCTGTTTATCAGCTTATCGGGTGTATCAGTCAACTTTTTCACCAAGCACGTAACTTTTGCGCGTTGAATTGTGAAATAATAAGAAAAAGTAAGGTAAGAGTTACTTTTCTGGCTGTATTGGCTGAAATTACTGTAGAAAACCTTTTAAACTAATTTTACATATAATTTTTTTATTTATTATATTATCAAAAAATATTTTAAATATACTTCAGTCAGAACTTCATAAATTTTAGCAGAATCAGTCGATTTAGCTGATTTCGATTTACCAAACGGGCTCTTATTTAAGAAAGAAAAATATAGAAGTCTGTTGATGGAATTTCTATGTTGTGTGCTATCGTTTAGATAGAATATGTATTAGAGGTTTTCTGTGTAAATTATGTATTATGGGCCTATTGGTCCGTACTTGTAAATCCTACTTTATCCTTATTTATAGGGGCTTTTACTTGTAAATAAGAGCCCGTTTGGTAATCAGCACGACTGTTCTAACCCTATATTTTCCACCACCCCACTTGGCCGTTTTCATCCATTGTCGATGAGTTCAGTAGCCCCCCTCTCTGTTCCTGTTCCGTCAACCTATTATTCCAACGACGGTTAAGGTTTGTCTTGTTTGCTCTAAACTCTAAAGCTTGTTGTCTGAATTTTTACTTGAGCAATGAATATATTATATGCTTCTAAGTTGTAATGTTTTATGCTCGTAGAAGAGTACTGTTTTATACATATATTCTAATTTGAATATTGTAATTGCATACCTTTGTGGAATTGTCTAGACTCCATGGAATCGCTTGTGGAATTTTGTTAATAGTAGGTTATTTTAGTTTATATGCATACTGTTTTATATGCTCGAGATTAAGTTGTCATTTTTTTATATATCTATTTATTGCACACCAAGTGTTTGATGTTATGCATCATTCATTTTTTGGAGATAGATGCATTTTTTATTATAATTCCGTAATGCTATATGTTATAATCATATAGTTGGAACCAATATCACATTATGCATTCTTCTTCCTTTTTATACATCCATGTGATCATACTTTTCCGTAAAGCTATATGCCATATACATATAGTTGGAATCAAAGATCACACGAATTAATCTTATTTTCATGCATATTCATGGGCGGAGCTAGGGGTGGGTCAACCTAGGCCATGGCCCACCCCAAATTTAAAAAATGGCTTAATTTTTAAGGTAAAAAATTTCGTGTAAATTTTTTTCTAAAAATATTTTTTGTACCGGCCCAGTCCGGCCCAGTGTCCTGGCTCCGCCCCTGTGCATATTATATGATTATACTTTCCGTAAAGCTATATGTCAAATACATATAGTTGGAATTAAGATCATACTATGCATTTTTTAATTATTTTATACATATTATGTGATTATACTTTTCTGTAATACTATATGTCACTTACATATAGTTGGAACCATAATCACGTAAGATTACTATATTTTATGATCATTAATTATCTCTAAGGCAAAATACATGTCTGATTTTCCGTAAATCTATATGTTATACTCATATAGTTGGATTTCATGTAGTCATATTTTTAAACATTTTTTAGAATATACTAACATGTTTATATTTCTGTAATTCTATATGTCATATACATATAGTTGGAATAACAATCATGGAGTCATATTCTTACTTGTCATGTAAATAACCTAAATTAGAAATCTACTTTCTAACCCGGAGGTAGTCATTTTTACTACTTATCCAACAAACTTGAAAAATTGATGTATTAGACTCAAATGCACTTGAGCATCATCTTCATAACATTGGAATCAATATTTATGGTGACGATTAAAAGACCAAGAAATGTCAAAAGTTGTGAGTATTTTAACTTTAAAATACTCAGATTCAGAAAGCAATCAATAATGATTATGACATTTTATCTCAATGAGAATTTATTGGAACAAACTATAATTTTTCTCTAAAAATCTGTCAATGATCTGATCAATAACGATCAAGAGCATATTACTATCATATTTGTTTTTTGTGAAAAGTAAATCACAATAGCTTCTTTGATACTAAAAAAATTCATTTTTTATGTACATCATTACACTTATACTAAAGAACTTGTAGAGTAAATCATGTCATTAACACTAAGTTTATAATTACATTGTCAAATGTTAATAACTTATGTATTTTCTTTTATCATGTATAGTGACACACAACAAATTTTTCTTGGATAAAGAAACTTCCAAGGAATATCTATATATGGTGATATGAATATTGGACGAATTAATTCGTTGTACACCCATTGGTTGAAAGCAACAAAGAACCTCTGAAGAACAAGAGATTCACTCTTTACTTGATGAAAGATTGTATATAGATTTAATCTTATGGCAGCTTTCTATGATGAGAATATGAACATTCCCTTGAAAATGGATTTCCCATGCATTTGATATTATTATATACCAAGTATTTCTTTTTAGCTTTTTTTAGTAGCTTTGCTAATATTGAACAAATTTTTTTTATCTCTCATCTTAAAGTTTAGTATGGATGCTATTTATTCATATGAGGTTTATATTAATTTAACTATCTCATTAATTTATCTCAAGGCGTAATTTGAGAGATTTGTGCATCTTGATTAAATGGATCCCTATGTGCTTGTTAATTAAAACCAATGAGTACAAAGAAACACATGCCTGAAACAATAGGATGATATGTACCTTATCCAACTTGAGATCATAGCACTCTAAAGTATATGAGTGACATCTACAAATTATTACAATCTATAACAAATAAGTGGTTCAACCAATTGTGTCATACACAATAAATTAAGGAATGTATATTTATTGACGCAATTCCTAATTTTCATTTATGATTGATCAAGGGTGATGTACAACCTAAATATTTCATATCTAAATGAATAGAATTGTATCCTCCTTGACCTCTAAATGCATCTACAAGTCGCCAAAGTTTACGATGTTTTAAATTTGCTCACCACAATGATTTTATATAGATGGAATCATGTCATGGGTTCAATTCTTGTGAGCGGTCTCTTGTCAAAGTGACAAGAAAAACTTACCCCTTATACACCCTTGTGAAGGGATGTTTCCCGAACTCTCGTACTGTGGGAATTTCAATGTTCGCCGGGCTACCCTTAATGGGTTTTCACATAGAAATTCGCTAAAAAATGAGATATAAAATATTATATCGCGTCTAATAAATGCAAAAGAAAATGCATATTTAAGCAAGTTATGAGTTAAAATGGTCATTGACTCATATAAACTTTGAAATGACTCATTCAAGTTATTAATCACTCGAATAAAGGATACAATTACATCCAACACAATGTAAATTCTTGGCCTTAGCATCGATAAATAGAAAAACAATATACACCTTTTATAAAGTACAAGAAGAAATATTCACTTTTCATTATGCCTTATAGATATAGTAGAAGACATGCAAGTTATTTATTAAAGTTTATTCCTTAGCAAAAATAGAATCGAGACGTGTCATATATGCTAAGGAAATAACAATAAAGATATCTCATTTTTTCAATACAATGTGACATGTGAGAAATTATCTACCAAAATGCGGGTCATTTAAGTAAGTATGCTTTGGTAGAAAATTTTCCATGCTATCTATTTTTCTGTTACATAAAAATGTTGCATTTCCTTTCCATCATTTGCAATGGAGCCAAAGATTCATTATTTTTGGCTTGAGATTATGATGAAATAAAGCAAAATGGCTCACTAAATTGTTTGCGCTTCTATGCTATGAAGCAGCAGTCAGTCCATGCTATTTTGGATGGGATTTTCACTATGAGTCATTCGGAAACAGTCTCTCTGTGCGTTAGTACAGGGGTAAGACTGCATACATCTGACCCCCTTACCCCACCGTAGGTGGGAGCCTTTGCGGCACTGGGGTAAATGAAAATGATGAAATGATGATGAATAAAAATGTTGCATTTGCAAAACTTCTAGAAAAAATTATTCATTTTAGGGCCCATCACTCGACCAATCAAGTCTATATGACTTGTTACTGCTAGACAACTCTCGTCAAAAGTATTTGATGAGTATTGAATATTTGTCGAGATCAATGAAAAACATCTCACATCCCTTGTGAAAAATAAGATCTCTGTAAAATTCACATCTAAAAGAATGTAGATGGTGAATATTATATCTATTATGCGTGCACTAATATATAATTCCTACACCCACTTGGGGCATTCTACTAGTCAAATAACTCTCAAATAATTGGGAGCTAGACAACATGGGAAGGGGATGTGCGGATAAGAGGGAGGGGGGAAGTCTCATTGAGACAAACCCACACTCACCCCATTAACTACCCTTCTTAGTAGTGATTGGGTTGAGAATAAAAATACTCCGCCCTACTCCTAGCACTCCAATCATTCGAACCATTCACACAAGAGAGGAAGAGGGAGAGGACTTGAGAGCTCTCAAAATTTCCGAGCTTGAAGAATCAAGGGAAGAAGGAAATCCAAGAAGAAAGGCTAGGGTTGAGGTAAGATCTCAACTAGTAATGCTTTTAACTAGTTTTATTGTGTATGATTTTTAAGAAATCATATAGTAGATTAAGCCATGATTTCTACACGTTTAAAAGTGTAGAATATTGTTATAAAGTGGTGGTAATTAACTTAGAAGAGTTGGTGAATCGATAGGAGTCGAAATCGCCGGAAACCGCCAAGAAAAGGGAGCTACCCGTATCGCAGGAGCACGAACGCCGCCCGGCATTCACCAAAGCCGCCCGGCTTTTGCTCTGCAGTCCAGTTTTTCGGTTCCAATCAGCCTAGAACGGGGATTGATCGAAGGTCTTCGCAAAGGCAACTAGTTAAGCACTCTATTAGGTGAGGATGACTGACTATATTGCTTATAATTAGTGAGTTAGTTTCATGAGATTATTTAAGGTAATT